AAGGTCGTGTTGTTGATTGTTTCTTGCCATCGTGCTTGCTGTGGGTAGATTTAGTAGCTGTTTCGAGAGAGTTTTGGAAACTTTTAGTTCAGTTTCCCACAGACAGCGCCAGTGTTGAGGTTTATTCCTTCAACCCCTGAGTTCAACACGTAAGCCCAAGAGTTTCGAGTGGAGTGTGTATATGAATAAGCTAGCCCAATTAACAAGTAAGATGGATTAAGAAACAGTGAGTAGCAAGTAAGATATTAGGTATTATTAATCAGTTAATAACTCCCTAATACAATACTTTTGCTAAGGCTCATCGGCCGTTCGTCTTACAATGCAGTAGAAGAGCTGCGAGTAAGAATGCTATAAGCTAGAGTGCTAAGAATAGTAAGTTGCCAACCCTTTTCAATGAAATAAATGCTGCTATTTATACTACCAATAGATAGCTGGCTATGCTGACGTGGAGGCTTGTGTGTGGCTGATGTCCCAACCACCAAATCTCCGGCATTAAATGCGCTTCCCGCCAGAATTTGTGTTTCCCGCCTAGTCACGGAGACGTTCGTCGAGTCCGGATAAGAGGGTCTGCTCCTGGTGATATTTGCAAAGGGTAATGGGTCGTTCGTATCCTGGCCCGTAGATGATTTGTCACATGGGTTGGATTGGCTCTAAGTTACAGTGCCTTCCGGAGGCGACGTTCGTCACCGTTGCGTTTGCCTGTGGATTTGATCCACTTGTCTTTGTACGGACGTTCGTCCGAGTGGGCTGCCTCGCCAAGGAAGACGTTCGTCCGGTCGAGGTGAATGGGCCGGCCCATGTGCTGGGCCATTAACCCAACAAACTGTTTTCCAGCAAAAAAGAAGAAGATATGAGTCGAAGAATCTGGAATTTAGATCTGGATTTTTCAGAAAAGGAGGAAGAAAAAATTAGAGAAAAAAGATTCTGGAAATGAAAGCAGGAAAAAGATGTTGTTTCCAACGAGAAAAAGGAAGTTTGAGAAGCTATGGAATCTGGAAGCTCGGGTCTGGATTTTCCGGACTGGGATGGACTCGCCGGAAACAGCCAGAGCTGCCGGAGATCCCGGACCAGTTCAGGTCGTGTCGGCACCATCAGCTGGTGACTGCTCATGGCTGGCTTGTCCACCTCGCCATCAACTGGAGCTTCCTGCCGAGCACCATTAATGGCGGTTTAGAGCTCCACGTGATCAAGTTTTGCGGACAAGTGTAAGCCTTCAGGGACGCCTCCCATATGCCGCGACACCTGCGCCGCCGTAAGTTTGCGGCCAACATGTACTTGGCATCAGTGGGGTGTTTCACCTGCCTCTCCACATGATGCTCTTCACTTGGCGGAGGGCGGACCACGTATAAAGGGCCAAAGTCTAAAAGGGGAATTAGCAGTAAAGACGGAGCACCACACATTATTTTGGGCGGTCGACGTACGTAGCTCCCTCTTTGAAGTGTGTTGACCCAGTCAACATGTAACACCGCCCCTAAGTATTTGTATTTTATCAAATCATGTATTGAACCATGAGAAATGAATAAACGCATTTTACATGATTGTAAATTTTTATCATTTCTTTTACGTGAATAGTAAAATTCACGTGGGGGCCACACCGGAAGTGGGGGCCGCCCGATATTATCAGGACCTCATATTATATTTGTCTGGGTCTAGATAATATATATATATATATATATATATATGATGGTAGATATCCATGTTGGTCTATAGAAACCATGTGAGTTGGCTAGTTGTGCATATAAGACCCATTTATCGATACCGGCGTACTGACAGATAAAAGCCATAATAAATTATGAAGACCTCTAAATTAAAAGTTGGAGTATATATATTCATTCTATTAGCCAATGATAATTGGAAGAATGATGGATATTTCATTTGACCCGATAAAATGAAATTTAGTTAAAACAGTCCGGAAAAATACAACTTTCGGGACCGAATGTACACTCGGGGACACAAAGGGATAACCATCTATTAAAGCGGGGGCCACCACACGACTTTACTCTTGCAAATAGCATGGGGAGCCGCACCTTTGCACTGCTGAAAGGTGTTGAGGAGACTTGGAGACAAAGGGTGAAAGCTAAGGGGACCCTCACCCATATTATTGATGAATTAGCCAAAATGAATATCTCCATCACCCCTTAACCCATATGCTCGACCCACCTATCATCTAAGGAGTAGGAAGCTCTGCAAAAACTCCATTTTTATCATCCATACACGCACTAAAGCTAAGGAAGAAGGAGGAGGAAAAAGAGAAGAGAAAGGAGGAAAACTTGAGGATTTACAAGGTAATAACTCCATTAATCCCATTCCTTTCTTTAATCTTCCCATATGATTATATAATCATATTTCATACCCCTAGGATCATTTTACACGTGTTATGTGTAGAATGGGATTTGGAAGGAAATCCTACGTCCAAGAACGGACTTAGAGAGCAAAGTTGACGGGTCGTCGGAAAATAACCCTTTTAGAGGTTATTTGTGTTGATATGAGTTTTATGATGATAAAACCTTGTTATTAACTTACATAACGTATTTCAAGAACTTTCACGGAGTTGAAAGGGGTGCCGGAGTTGTCGCCGGAGTTCGTTGAAGTTCGCCGGAGTTTCGCCGAAGCTCAATAAGAAAGGCTAGAACTTCATAAGCTTCATTTAAGGTGAGAAGATGGCTATATGCTTTATAACTTTTGCGTGAGGCATGAGATTACCTAAATTAATCAAGAATATGTTTTATGAATTGATTAATGGTATTAAAGCATGTGTTATGTCATATTAAAGAATATAACATAGTTGGAAAGCATGATACGTAGGTTTGATTAGTGAAATTATTTTAAATTGATATGTATGATGTTCCAAGGACCCAAATAGGTAGGTTTGGATTAAGGACGTCAAGGAGTACATGCATGTAAAATTTCATGTTAATTGGACTTCGTTTGGGCGGTCAAACGAGCATTGACCGCCAAGTTAGCTGTTATACCCGACAGGGTATTGGCAAATACTCGACTGGGTATAGGTAGGTACTCGACTGGGTATTAGGTTTTACACCCAAACGGTCGGTTTTGAATGAGTATAACGTGGGGCGTTTGGGTGAGAACCGTCCACGCTGGTTATTAAGGATTGTTATATGACTATAGGGCTAGGTATTGTCTATAGTTAAAAGAATGAAAGGTTAGCCATATCCAGGTTAGGGTTTTGTAAGGAATAAGGTTGGGGTTGAGTATCTCCGGGAAGGTAAATGATCCTGAAACTCGGTTGGGGTTGAGTATCCCCGGGACGGTAAATGATCCTGAAACTCGGTTGGGGTTGAGTTCCCCGGGACGGTAAATGATTCTGAAACTCGGCTGGGGTTGAGTATCCCCGGGACGGTAAACGATCCCGGAACTCGGTAGGATATTATGAATGTAGAATGTAGCTTGTGAGCTAGGCATTCGGGAATGGATGGGAAAGGTCGGGTGAGTACATTATCTCTAAAAGACTCTTTAAATGAAAATGACCTACAGATCAAGTATTTTACATGTATATATGGTATGTATCATCTTGTGGATGGGGTAACGATGGTTACAGCTATACTTATATGTATCACCCTATTTTTGGGTCTCGTGTCTGAAACATTAGTTATTCCTCATATAGTCTGCTTGTCACTAGTACTTTCTATGGAATACTAACCCCTTCGGGGGCCTCACATTTTTCAGGTTAAGGCTAGAGTCCTGCTACCTGCACCTTTGCATAGGGTGATACAAATAAGGAAGACGTGGTTCGTGCTTCCATTCTTATTTCAAATTATGGATTTGCTCATGGGTATTTGAACAATGTTTTTGTCTATTAAACTATTGAAGGGCCTGCGAGCCCATGTTTGCCACATGTGGCTAATTATCAAACATATTTTATTTCTGCATTTGTTTGATTAATATATATATATATATATATATATATATATATTGATGTTGATTGTATGGGTTTACTAATCGGTTTGACAATAGAATCTATCAGACGCCTTGTACGATTTAACAAGAATGAACTTCGTTGTTCTTATTGGGTTGTACGACGGTTGTCTACGTGGCACAGATGCGGTCCGGGGTGTGACAATTAAATGGTATCAGAGCCATCGATTTCTAAACTATATAATTAACCTCTAAATATAGTTATCATAAAAAAGTTTTGAATAAAACCATGAGCAAAAGTTTTTGTACTTAATGAACCGTTGGAAACCAAGTTATTGACCTCTTATTGTTAATACGGTACCCTTAACAGTTTGGTTGCCATAATGTTGGACCAAGTGGTGTCTTTTGTACTATTCCGTCAGTTGACATTGAAACGAGTCTAACGGCTCATTCCGAATTTCTTACAGAAATGGAGGGTAGACACATGACAACGAGGAACAATCCGAGGGGGCAAGTGCCGGTAACATCCATAGGGGCTAGCCAGGCTGCACCTCGGGGCTCAAGAGGAGGCCGTGGAGGTCGTGGAGGCCGTGGAGGTCATTGGGCTCAAACTGTGAGTGATGGTCATGTAAGCTCGGTGCATGAAACCAACACCAAGAACTATGACTCGACATATGTTCCCGAAACGGAACATGAGGAGACCCCGTACGATGGGGATGATGCGTACACCGACGATGACAATGATGTGAGTGATGCTAAATTCGCTCAGATGGGTGAATTGTTTGAGTGGTTGATAGGCTCATTCCGTTCCTATCTTTTCACTCATATTTCGGGTGTTAATTGTCTAATTCTTATAATTAACCGGGTGACTATTGGGAGTTTTGAGTGAAAATTTGCTATTTTTTGGTCCCGGTGGCATTCATTTTCAGTTTAGTATTTTTCACGCAAATTGACATTTTTGGAGTAATTTGATTGTAAAAATGCATATGATTAGCGGTTGTGGTGAGTTGTGATTTTACAGGTCGAATTTGCGGTGAATAATATATTGTTTGGGCCGAATCATTTGCGGGTTACTTTATTAAGTAGTGAAGCCCAAAGAGTCCAGAGGAGCTGGGTTTTTCTCCCGGAAAACAACCCCAGCCGCAGAATAGAAGCCAACCACGATCCATTCCTTTCACGTAGCAGCAGTAGCCCAGGACAAGATCACCCATTCTTTCTTTTCATTTTTCTGAAGAAAACCCCAGCCGCACGAGTTCGTTTTTTTCCCTAGTTCACTTAGCCGCAGAACACAAGCAGCCGTAGCCAGTAGTAGCTCATATTTTTTTTCTTTCTGTTCGTAGTTAAACCGGCCGCCGTAGAAGATCATCCACTTTTTTCCTATTCGAAGCACAAAAACAAGTAGCCGCAGGGGATTTCTTTTTTTCTGTTCATTCACTCTTAGCGGCAGCAGCGTTTTCGGGCTTCTACTTGTCAATTAGCCGCAGCCGGCAGTAACTAGAAGACCAGCAGCCGCACCGCACAATTCTGTCATTCTAAACACTGCAGCGAGTTCATTCTCTTCTTCTTCACTGAGCAGCAGCAAGGAGATACCAGGCTTCACTTTTCTTCATTTTCTTTCAATTCAATTTACATTCCAAGCAAGAATTGTAAGTTTCAGCATTTTTTACATACTAGTTCGTGAACTTAGATTAAATTTCGAATTGGTTTGTCTCTAATTAGTAATTTCAGAATTTTTCCATTAATTACTTATAATTCAAGTTTTATTTCTAGCTCCATATCATGCTTATCAATATTATTGTGATGTTAATTTTAATTATGAGTAGCTAATTTTTATATAGGGTTTGAATTGGGGCTAGGGTTCATGGGTTCTTGAGGGTGTGAATTTAGTTTTTCTGAAATTCAATTAATTTTCTGGAAAATTGTATAAGATTAATCATAATTGTCTATATGAATTTGATCACCTCATATATGAATTTTTGGATTTAATTCAATTCTTGTCCATGAGAAATTGAGTTAAATTAGCTTGGGTCTTATACAAACAATCTGATCTTAGAAGTAAGTTAGGATTGTGGAAATTTGATTTAATTCTTGTCTATGAGAATTTATTTCATATTCTTTCTAGGAATTATTGAAAATTAATTTACTTAATTCTAATCCCGAAAGAACATCCAGAACCCGAACCATCCAATTTGAACCCTGTTTTACTATCTTGAATCAATTTAATTTTGTTTCTTTTCACTCTATTTATTTTTGCACTTGATTTTTTTAAACCACCCAAAATCATTATTTGGAAAGATTACCATGACTTGTGCTAGCCTGTGATCACGGACTGTATGTAAAAACTTCCCTTTTGCCACTCCTTGAGCGACGATACTCGTGGTCTGGTTATTCTTCGGATTAGCCAACTACGTTTTACTCACTAAAAAAATACACCGATCAAATGGCGCCGTTGCCGGGGAGTGGCACGGTTGTTTGTTAAGTACTTTTCTGTGGAATAGGTAAAAGCAAGTCGGTGAGACTTTCTATTTTTTTCTGTTATTTGTGTTTGTTTTTGGTGTTCTTTGCACGTGAACTAAGTTGCAGGAACAAGTGTATACGCACTCGCTCCTCGGGGGAACAAGATCTAATTGCAGGGTATTCTAATCCTGAACGCTTATTCCGAGGAAGAGCTTAAAGGAGTTTGCTAAAAGACTTGGAGAAAATGGCTAATCAGACAACTCTAGAGACGTTGACGCCTAACTATTTGGCGAGAAATAGCATTGGTGCACCCACCATTGAGGCCAACAATTTTGAAATCAAGCCGGCCATGATTCAGATGCTTGCTAATAATCCATTCTGTGGATACGCCCATGAAGATCCAATGGAGCATATTGAGAGCTTTATTCAGACTTGTGCCACGTTCAAATATAATGGAGTGTCCAGCGAAGCAGTCAGGTTGACTTTATTCCCGTTCTCGTTGAAAGACAAAGCTTCACGGTGGCTCCGTAGCTTTCCAAACGGGCATTTTGATACATGGGAGAAGCTTCATCAGGCCTTTATGCAGGAGTATTTTCCTCCCTCTGCCGCTATCAAGGTTCAGACGGAAATTCTCAATTTCACTCAAGCTCCGACCGAATCTTTCAGTGAAGCATGGGATAGGCTGAAGACGTTGAAAAGGAAGTGCCCTGAAACATTCATGAATGTAGCAACTATTATGTGCAGATTTTATAATGGGCTTCGATTGGAGTATATGAGAGAGCTAGATCGGGCATCTCAAGGGGGTATGTTTCTGAAATTATCCCCACAGGCAGAAGAGCAAATAATTGAAAACTTGGCTTCAAATGACAAGTATTGGTATGCGGGTAGACCTTAGGCGCCAAGCTAGGCGTGCCTCTCAGGGAAATTCGGGTCAGGGAAGTCGGGGAGCTTCAATGGCCATTCCTGCGGCGTCACAGGGAGTGCAGGGAGGAGGTTTCTGTGTAAGAGTCTCCAAATACCTCAAGGAGGCTAGGGCCTTGGGGTGAAAATCATTTGATGGCAAGGGCGACATATCGGTGACTGCCGATTGGATCAAGAAGCTGAATGATGCTGCTAGGGATATGCAGATCTGACTCGACGTGAAGTTGACAGTTGCCACCAGGTTACTAGAGGGGGTAACTGCAATATGGTGGGAAGGCGTGGAAGGGAAGTTCCACGGTGAGACCACATGGGAGAAATTCGAAATAGAATTTTATAATCAGTACTATTCAGAGTTTGAGAAAAACCAGAAGAGGAAGGAGTACATGACTTTGGTACAATAGGAGGATTGCTCGGTAAGACAATTGGAACAGAGGTTCCGGGACTTGGCACGATACATACCTGAGTACGCCATGGATGAGAATCGTATGGCCAACCACTTCTGGGATACCCTACAGTTGGATATCCGTGATCGGGCTACCTACAATCATCACATGACGTTTAGTGAGATTGTTTATCAGGGGCTCCTTGGGGAACCCAAGTGGAACAAAAGAAAGAAGAGAGACGCCGATGAGGCGAAGAAGAGGAGATGGGAGAATTCTGGACCCCAAGACCATTCTCGGAAGCATCACGCCGGTAATGGAAGTTCATTTAGGGCGCCAGCACCACCGGCAAAGAAGAGTAAGGGCCCAGGAGGGCAAGGGCACAGCTCGGGGAGTGTGAGACCACTAAGGTCAAGTATTTTATATGTATATATGGTATGTATCACCCTATTTTAAATGGAAATGACCTACGCGTCAAACATATTTTATTTCTGCATTTGTTTGATTAATATATATATATATATATATATATATATATATATATATATATATTGATGTTGATTGTATGGGTTTACTAATCGGTTTGGCAATAGAATCTATCAAGCGCCTTGTACGATTTAATAAGAATGAACTTCGTTGTTCTTATTGGGTTGTATGGCGGTTGTCTATGTGGCACGGATGCGGTCTGGGGCATGACACAACAAGTTGGACATTATTGGATGAGTCTTCCATAGTTGCTTCCTGGCTGGAGGGCACGACTTCAAAGCTAAGTATTTTAACTCTCTCATATGCTAAGTATTAAACGCTTTAGTAATTGGAATATTGTTATTAGTTTTATCACCATTATTTAAAAGGGATTAAATTCTCCCAAAATTAAATAATGTGAGTGACGCTCTAGTGATAACTAGTTTCACCGTCATTTAAATTTAATGACTGGTTGTTGTGGGCCCGTCGACCCGCTCCTGATCAGCTTTAATTAGCGATCGGAGCGTATCTGAATGACCTTGGGTAGGATAATATCGTTGTTATTACCTGTTTTATCACTATTGTTTATTAGGGATTAAAATGTCCTGAATTAAATAATGCGGAACGAAGCTCTAGTGATAGTTAGTTCAGCCAACATTTTATTAAATGTATAGTTTGTGGGCTCAATGGCCCACTCTCGATCGACTTGATTAGCAATCTGAGCGTCTCCAGAGGGCATTGCCCCGATGACGCATTTTAGTTGAGGGGTTGCGCATTAGTCCGCTCGGCACCAAGTGCCCGATCGACGTTCGTACCCTAGTACCATCTGCGCCAATAGGCGAGAAGTGACTATTGCCAAATGCGGTATGCGGGGCCCGAGGGTACCAAAGCGCTCAACCTTGTTTTTCGAGGGCAGTGTGGCAAGCGTGGGTCTGAGTTTTCAAACTCACATACCAATGATTTTGTCCAAACGACATTCGGCAAACCACTAGGTGGCCCTGCTATGGGCAGCCAGGTCCAATAACCCTGCACAATGAGCCGGGCCAAGGGTCATGATAACCCATAGGCTGGTCATCCTGAACGTTGAAAAAAGAAAGCCATGCAGATGGTTATATGTGTATTATATATATATATATATATATATATATATATATATATATATATATATATATATATATATATATATATATATATATATATATATATATATATATATATATATATATCGTCGAGCCGTGCGGCCCGCTACCATGTTAATAATGCAGTCAAGGTCGCTCAACACGCTCGAGCAGGAGATTAAGTGATGCTCGGCATGAGTTCTGAAGATGTCCCAAACCGGCTAAAGAAGAGGGCCGCGAGACGTTCATACTTTCCCAAGAGGCCGAGGGCCTGGGACACGATCGCGGGCAGGAACCGTAAGACGAACATCTCCACCCTAGAAGTCGAGGGCTGGGAGGAAACCGTCACGGCTAAGGTCCGTGAGACGAGCATCTCCACCCCAGGAGCCGAGGGTTAGCGGAAGACCATCACAGCCGAGGGCTGTGAGACCATCCATATATCACGACCGACCTCACGGCACGACATGTTTACATTTTGAAGACCGGCATCATCCCCGCACTCCGCGGATGAGAGCCATTGCATGGGTACATTTGATCGGCCCCCATGACAGACGTACATACATCACGATTGGCCGTTCGGCACGACGTGGTCATCTCTCTCTAAAGACTGGTATCATCCCCGCGCTGCGCGGATGAGATCCGTTGCATGGATACACTTGATCGGCCCCTCATGGCCGACGTACGTATATCACGATTGGCCTCCCGGCACGGCGTGCTTTCCATATATGAAGACCGGCCTCGTCCCCGCTCCTCGTGGATGAGTACCATTGATTGGTTTCTTTCTGATCGGCCTCCAGGCCGACACCCTTATGTGGCCGCCGACCTCCTGGTGCGGTGCCATCATCATATCTGAAGACCGGCCTCATCCCCGCTCCTCGCGGATGAGGACCGTTGGTTGATTCTTTCTGATCGGCCCCTAGTGTCTACATCTATACATGGCCACCGACCCTCTGGTACGGTGCCATCTCCATATCTGAAGACCGATCTCGCCCCGTTCCTCGTGGATGAGGACCGTTGCTTGGTTCTTTTTGATCGACCCCCAGTGCCGACATCTTTACATGGCCACCGACCCCCTGGTATGGTTCCATCTCCATATCTGAGGACCGGCCTTGTCCCTGCCCCTCGCAAATGAGGACCGTTTGCTCCATTCTTTCAGGATGGCTTCTCATTGCCGACACCATTATGTCATGACCGGCCTCTCGTCACGGCGTGTTACCATATTTGAAGACCGGACTCGTCCCCGCTCCTCGCGGATGAGGACCGTTGCTTGATTCATTGAGGTTGGCCTCTCATTGTCGACACCATTATAGCACGATCGGCCTCTCGGCATGGCGTGTTTATCCTATTTGAAGACCGGTTTCATCCCCGCGCTACGCGGATGAGACCCGTTGCTCAGACGTTCGGCTTGACCCGACACCATTGTCCTCTTCTTATCAGGACCGACTGCTCAGTGTCATCACGATTATCTATATATTGGCTCCCAATCCAACCTTCTTGAGTGAGCGATCGGGCTCACCACTCCCCTCCCGGATGGTGACCATCGTCTTCGCATGACGATCAACTATTACATCGCTTCGTCTTCATATTCGGTTCGGTATCCCACCACCATCAGATTTGACATTACTTGTACTCATTCAGTGAACCGATGAACGTATTTTCCCCCTAAAAAAGAGCAAGCAAGCCAAAAAAAAAGATAAAGGGGGACGGGTATAGAGCCCGAGACTTGGGAATCCTAGCGGGGTAAACCGGTTCCGTGCCGAAATCATGTAGCGTGCCGAACGTCTTCCTCCTTGGCAGGAAGCAAGTAGGACCACAGGCGGTAGTGGAACAAAAAACTCTCGGGAATCTTAGCGGAATAAACCAACTCTTTACCAAACTCATCTGTGTGCCGAGTGCACCGCCTAGTGGGTCGTGCATAGGACCAATAGTTGGGCAAAAGACTTGGGAGTTCCGCTGGGATAAAACGGTTCCGTGCTAAAGTCCTGTTGCATACTAAACGTCTTCCACCTTGGCAGGAAGCAAGTAGGACCACAGGCGGCAGTGGAGTGAAAAATTCGGGAATCTTAGCGGAATAAACCAGCTCTTTACCAAACTCATCTGTGTGCCAAGTGCACCGCCTAGTGGGCCGTGCATAGGACCAATAGTTGAGCAAAAGACTTAGGAGTTCCGCTGGGATAAACCAATTCTGTGCTGAAATCCTGTTGCGTACCGAACATATTCCTCCTTGGCAGGAAGCAAGTAGGACCACAAGGGGTAGTGGAACGAAACTCAGAGGCCGAGCATATGTCACCAAACGGGACGCAGGCAGCACCTCCACACACAAAAAACTAGCTTAGGGTGCGCCATAAGCGTTCTGGAGATCAAAATCGGGCAACCTTAATATTTCCCAAGAGATAGGGTGCGCCATAAGCGTTTTGGAGATCAGAACCGAACAACCTTAACATTTCCCAAAGAGGTAGAGTGCGCCATAAGCGTTCTGGAGATCAGAACTAGGCAACCTTACGACCAGCATAGCCAAGGGCCACGAGACGATCATCATTCACCAGCACGGGCGAGGGTTATAAGACGATTATCATTCACTGACAGGTAGGGGGCCATGAGATGATCATCACCATTTTATACATCATGATCGGCCCCTCAGTGCCATCGTGTCTACTCCACGGTTCGGCTCGCTCATACCTTCCAGGATGGCGACGACCGTCTTATGCAGCACGATCGGTCCATCAGCGCCATCATGTCTAGCTCATCTTCGGCCTCGCTCATTCCCTCCAGGATGGCGACGACCCTCTTATGCAACACGATCAGAGCATCAGCACCATCGTGTCCAGCTCAGCTCCAGCTCGCCCATCCCTTCCAGGATGGCGACACACGTTTTATGCAGCACGATCGGCCCATCAACACCATCGTGTCTAGCTCATCTTCGGCCTCGCTCATTCCCTCCAAGATGGCGACGACCGTCTTATGCAACACGATCGGCCCATCAGCGCCATCGTGTCTAGCTCATCTTCGGCCTCATCCCCTCCAGGATGGCGACGACCGTCTTATGCAGCACGATCGGCCCATCAGCGCCATCGTGTCTAGCTCATCTTCGGCCTCGCCATTCCCTCCAGGATGGCAACGACCGTCTTATGCAGCACGATCGGCCCATCAACAACATCGTGTCTAGCTCATCTGCGGCCTCACTCATTCCCTCCAAGATGGCGACGACCGTCTTATGCATCACGATCGGCCCATCAGCACCATCGTGTCTAGCTCATCTTCGGTTTCACCCATCCCTTTTAGGATGGCGACACACGTCTTATGCAGCACGATCGACCCATCAGCGCCATCATGTCTAGCTCATCTTTGGCCTCGCACATTCCCTCCAGGATGGCGACGACCGTCTTATACAGCACGATCGGCCCATCAGCGCTGTCGTGTCTCGCTCACGGTTCGGCTCGCCCATCCCCTCCAGCATGGCGATGACCGTCTTATGCAGCACGATCGGCCCCTCAACGCCGTCGTGTCTCGCTCACGGTTCAGCTCGCCCATCCCCTCCCGGATGGCGACGACCGTCTTATGCAGCACGATCGGCCCCTCAGCGCCGTCGTGTCTCGCCCACGGTTCGGCTCGCCCATCCCTTCCAGGAGGGCGATGACCGTCTTATGCAGCACGATTGCCCCCTCAACGCCATCGTGTCTCGCCCACGGTTCGGCTCGCCCATCCCTTTCAGGAGGGCGAAGACCGTCTTATGCAGCACGAACGGCCCATCAGCGCCATCGTGTCTAGCTCATCTTCGGCCTCGCTCATTCCCTCTAGGATGGCGACGACCGTCTTATGCAGCACGATCGGCCTCTCAGCGCCGCCGTGTCTCACCCACGGTTCGGCTCGCCCATCCCTTCTAGGAGGGCGACGACCGTCTTATGCAGCACGA